GATTTGGTTTCCAGATCCTTTAGTTATGCATCTTGTTTTGGTCCTTGTCTTGCCATATTTCTAAGTTAGGTTGAAGAAAATAAGAAATAGTGTGCCCTTTAATCCAGCATGCATGAGTTTTAATTTGTCCACTGTGAAGCTATATGTTTAGAAAAAAAAAAAAAAAGAGTCAATTGTTTCATCATAGACCCTCGCTTAATTTACTGTACAATGACTCACGTTTCAAAGTAATAACATGGTTAATAATATAATCATTCGCCCCCACAGATCTAATTCTGATACCAAATAAAATTCAGTTGAGTTACCATCATTTATATCCTCATAGATGTTCTGTCGGGTCGGGGTGTGAGGGGCCCTTGGGGTTGGAGATTCAACCTTTTGGGAAGAATGATACCAAATAAAAATATAATGGCCCTGTTTGGTAAAAAATTGGCCTATAGGTCAATTATGGCTTATTTGACCACTACTAATTGTTTGATTTAGGTAAAATATCAATATAAATGTTTGGTTAATTAACTTTTTGCAACTCCAAAAGACAAAAATTGAAAAAGCTACTCCAAGCAACTTTTTCAATTAGCTTTTTGAGAAAATAAATTATACCAAACAGCTATCAGCTAACAGCTAATTCACCAAACACTTTTCTACAATCAGCTAATGTTATCAACTATTTATACCCTCTAATTAACACAATCAGCTAACAGCTATCAGCTATCAACTAACAGCCATTTTACCAAACAGGGCCAATATCCATAAATAATCAACATCATATATCCTAATTATTTCAATAGTAGTGTAACCAGTCTCCCCCACCATTGTCATCTCCAAACCCCTAATTGCCCAAACCATCCAAACACATTAGGTTTACAAATTACAAGTAATAATTTATTTCAGCAATTCAATTATTATGCTTCTCAAAATAAAAAAGAATTTATTTATGGCCCAAAGATCAGTTGTACTTAAATCTAACAAAAGAAGAAAAATAATAGAAAAGGACAAAAGCTCCTTTGAAAATATTGTCCTCATCGGTCCACACTCCATCATGTGATATATATATATATATATATGGTCAGGTTCCTATGAGGTCAGGTCTTCCCGTGCGGTCAGTGCGGCATACACCATTAGGTATGCATAAATGCACCACACAGTATTCGTAAATACACCATTATGTGTGGTGTATTTTTTTTTTTTTTTTTTGTGGTGCATGTTTTTACATTTCATTTTGGTGTATTTTCAAACACTATATGATGCATTTATGCATATCTAATGGTGTATGCCGCACTGACTGCACGGGAAGACCTGACCTCATATATATATATATATATATATATATACTAACTATAATCTGTATATGAATTATTGTGATGGATCAAGAAAATAAATAATTAAATCAAAGATTAAAAAATTTCTAATTATTAAAATGGATTAAAGTATTATATATGGTCCAGAAAGTCAATGTCATTAATCATTTTCTACTTAATAAGCTTTTTTATGAATAAGAAAAAACGTAATCAATTACGTGAAGTTTTTTTTTTTTTTTTGAACGCAATTACGTGAAGTTTATTTCTTCTTAATAAATAATAAATAAAACGCTACGGAATATTTATGAAAAAAATATATATTATGATACAGTGTAATAATTTTTCATATCTATTGACTAAACCCTCTTAATTGAACCCATTACACAAGTTTTTGTTTGATTTGCAAGTTATTTACACATAGGTGTGGTTTATTTACACAATTGAATAGTCGTGACAGGTTTCTCTCATTACTCAACAAAAAAGTCAAATACGGAGTAATATTTTTGAAATACTCATGATTCTTTACAAGGTAGAGAATCAATGTCTTCCGATCACTACCGAGGCTTGGTTTGTGACCACTCATTTAGAATGATAACAGAAGTATTATCACGCTACATAGCAGTTAGCAAAAAAAAGTCAAATAATATAATGTAAGACTAACTCAGGTTTGACTCGGGTTACTCTCACAAAATTTGATTTTTATTCAAAAGAAAGCGCGACTCATAATCTGTTTACATTATACACCATTTAAGAGACTTGAACATTCAACATTGTAGTTGTATTAATAAAAGGATGCATTATTTTTCTACATTTAAACCCTAAACTTAATAGTTCATCACTGTTCCTACGTACCTTAAAAATTACGGAGTAATAAAAGAGGTAAATCGTGAATTATACACTCATGTCTATCTTCTTCTTCTTCTTCTTTTTTATTTATTTATTTTTTTTATCATTAATAAGATTTGAACTTACAGCTTACCGCTATTAGTAAAGCAAAATGTATACACAATGAATTAATGATTGGGCCTACGAAATTAAATGCAATTGTTATTTGTACAAGTTGTGAGCAATAAATGTGCCACGCCAGTATCTTCCAAAGTTTAATTAGTATAAGTATCTCTCCAAATGTTAATCAATACCACACCATTTGGATCAATCAGTAGAGATCAGATCACACTTTCTTCATCAATAATGCTAGCTTAGCTTCTTTCTTCGATCTTCTTCTATTCATACAGGTATGCTGCTTCTTCTTCTTCAGTTCTTCTTTTTCTTGAATTTGCTTTTGATGCTTATATATCAGTATCTTAATTATACGTGTCAACATTTAGAGAAATTAGTATTCGGGTTTGACAACTACTTAAGTTTTTAAAGTTCATTCTTCTTCTTATTATTTTTAGAAAAATGATTACGAAATACCCATGATTCTTTTACAAGGTAGTATCTGTTCTATACTTTTTCAAATATTTTTAGCCTAAATAATCTAAATCACACCATCCAAGTTCGGACTTATGACCACCCATTTAGAATGGTAATCAGTATATAATCACACTATATAGTAGTTGGCAAATTATCCGTACAAATGTGATAGGCTTGCCATGAGTATTTAATTTGACAAATTATTAGTGGGGCGTGGATGCACTTTGTCAAATGTCTACTACTACTTAGGCTTCACAATTTATTACAAGTAAATACCGCAAAATAATCATCATGAGTAGTGTTGCAAAAATCGGGCTCTAAGCGCTGATTAATCGCTCTAGGCGCCCTAGGCGGTCCCCAGACGCCTAGAGGGCGCCTAGCGATTTTTTCAACTTTGATCATGAGTATAGTAACATACTAACATGTTGCACTTATTTAATTTTTCTTATTAATTAGTTGATTATAATAATATTTCAACATTTTATTGATCCAGTAATTTAGGTATATACTTAAATATGTTCTTACGCATATATAATACATGTAACACATAATTATGTAATATGTATTTTTTATAGTGCGGATGTTAATTTTAAATAGGGTTTAGTAATGAATTTAACGAGAGGCAGAAGTGTGAATATGATAATATCATGATGTATGCAATTAAGGGTCATAATTGATAATTCATCCCCCACTTAGAAACTTCCAGGCCACTAATATTTGTGTGCGTCGCCAACATAACCTTAGTGGATACATAACTAATGAATCCATGAACAAACTTTGTTTGCAAGTTACACTATCCAAATTTCATGATTTCAACCTATGGGATACACTCTAGAGAAGAAATAATAGTAATGTGTGGTACTTTTTATATATTTATTAATAATAGACAATTTTGTTGAAATTGATGGATCTTCTCTTTTACTTGATGGATCTAGTATCAAGGCCGGCCCTTGCCGTGTCTGGGCGACGACACAGGACCCTTAAATTTGGAAGCCCAATTTATTATTTTTTTTTTAAATATATACATATAAAGTTATTATTTTTATAATTGATAGGGGCGTATTGTAATTTTTTTTTATGTTAGGGTTATAAAACAAATTTTACTCTTAGCGCGCATTCAGGTAGGGGCTATGAGTTTTGCTGTAAATGAAAAGAATTTTAAATCTTTTATACTTTTGATTCTTAGTAGCAAATAACCAAGCCTGTAAGTAGGTGCATAGGTACCACACATTAATAATTTTAAATTAGCAAGATACCCTGGCCTTCTAGTTCTAGTTCAATAACAATAAACTAATTATACATATAGTCATATATACAAAGTATTCTTGTGGCTAAATGCTAATCTTCGTAGGATTGCAAGACAATAGGGGAGGAGTGGAGGGCTCACTCCCCAAAAAGCATGTATAATATTAATGTACATGCATATATAGCATTTAAATAATACTACTTGCATGAAAATTATTTATTAAAAAAATTATACTATATAATTATAATACAGTACGATTTACATCTCAAATATGGTTTACAATTTATTATATAAAAGTGAAGTTTATTCCATATATAATCTTGAGCTAAATTATGAAGGATTGTAGTAGTTATTAAATATATATCACATTACATAAAGCCCAAGAAGAAAACTTTTAAGTACAATACCTACTACTTTCCCATCTTGTTCAAAGCTTTTGAAAGATGGGTTTTCAAGCTAAGGCTGCTAGTGGTGAGTTGACAAAGTGATTGTACAAATTAATGTTTTTATACAAACATGGGTTTTAATTTAGCCATAAATAAAAACAATAATGAAAAACAGTTGCTTTCGGTGGGAGGCTAGCAAAGGCCAGGCCAGGCGTGGTGAAGAATAGCCCAAAGGTCTATTTAAAGAATAGTTGCGTAATTGGCTAGTAGTAGTGGATGCATGTTTAGTGGCACAAGGCCGCTTGCAACCTTCTACTATGTTTTTTCTTTTGTTTTTTGCTCACAAGAAAAATCCGCGGACCACAATCATTACTCAATAATGTGTAATTTATTCTGGCACAGTCTTAACTCACTAGTTCAGTAGACAATATTTGAGAAAAGAGACTAAAGTTCGAACTTCTACCATGACAGTGTAAGGATTATGTCTGAAGTGGACAGATTCCTAGTGGTGACCTGTGACAGTGTAACGATTATGTCCAAAGTGGATAGATTCTTAGTGGTGAGTGGTAACACTATCTGTTGAGTCAGAAATTCAACCTGGGGAAGAAATGTGCAACTTATACTCCTATATAAACATTAGAGTTTGCTCATTGTTTGCAGGTTCAACATAAGCAATAGGAATCCCAAACCCAAAAACAATGGCCACTCCCATCTTCAAATCCATCTTCCTTCTATCCTTGCTACCCTTTCTTCTCCATATTCGCTGCGGTAACTTTCTCTTCTATCTATGCACGTTCTATATATATCAGTATTGGTGTCATCAGTAATAGGTAATGGATGAAGTGTGTTATGTATGCAGCAAAAGGTGATCTCCAGATGGGTTACTACTCGGAGAGCTGCCCAAGAGCAGAAGACATCATCAAGGAACAAGTGATTAAGTTGTACGAGGAGCATGGAAACACTGCTGTTTCTTGGCTTAGAAACCTCTTCCATGATTGTATGGTTAAGGTATATATGTGTATATATATATATGATTAATTCTATCATAAAATTACTAATTAAGTCACCTTAATTATATATGTATTGGACCGATATGATGATCGATTATAGTAATGTAATGGTAAATTTCATGTGCGTATATAGGCATGTGATGCATCGATACTTTTGGACTCGGTAGCTGGCGTGGAATCAGAGAGGGAATCGCCAAGAAACTTTGGAATGAGAAATTTCAAGTATATTCAGACCATCAAAGCTGCCCTGGAGGAGGAATGCCCTAACACGGTTTCTTGTGCTGATATTGTAGCTCTTTCGGCTAGAGACGGTGCTGTTATGGTAATAGCACCATAACAATAATCATTTTTTAGCTTATTACAATATAATATTCTATTTTTCTATTTGGGTATTACTGATTTAAAATATACTCCACATTTTAATTTGTGAGTATAGTTAAAAGGGCCACGGGCCGAAATGAAGACCGGGAGAAGGGATAGCAAGGAAACCTATTTAGCAGAAGTTGAGAACTTCATCCCCAACCACAACGACTCCATGGAACTAGTTCTGTCACGATTCCAGTCCATTGGAGTCGATACAGAAGGAACCGTCGCCCTCCTAGGTAAACTAATACCACATTATATATATGAATTTTTTCAAAAAAAAAAAAAAGAGTACATAATATTTTAATTTTATGACAGGAGTTAAAGTCTCGTGTTCTCCCGTCAATTTCTTAAATAATAGATTATAGTACGAATCATTGTACCAAAATGTTTTATTTATGCTATGTTAGGTGCCCACTCAGTGGGCCGGGTTCACTGCATCAACATCGTCCACAGGCTCTACCCCACCGTGGACCCGACGCTGGACCCCACCTACGCCGACTACCTGAAGCTCCGGTGCCCGTCGGCGGAGCCTGACCCGAGGGCGGTGGAACCGACATACTCCAGAAACGACCGGCGGACACCCATGATTCTTGACAACATGTACTACAAGAACATTCTGGAGCACAAGGGGCTGTTGGTAGTTGATGAACTGCTGGCCACTCATCCTGCCACCGCTCCTTTTGTGGAGAAGATGGCGGCGGATAACCAGTATTTTCACGACCAGTTTGCTCGGGCTCTGGTGATTATGTCGGAGAATAATCCGCTCACCGGCGACCAAGGGGAGATCAGGAAGAATTGTCGCTACGTCAATACTAAATAAAAATAATGTATGTTCCTAGGTAGCGGTTGAGAGTTGAGAGTTATTCACTGTTAAATATAGGTGAATTGATTAATCTCTCTCAGCTCTTATCAACTGTAAACTACTGCCAAGTGGCAAGTGTAAGTGTCATAAAATATATCAAATTTGTCATCTTTATGTGTTATCCCTTTCAAGATGTTTCTTACTTCGTATTTAGTTTTGTCCGAAAACTAAGGTTGCATGGATATTTTTATTTTGGTTAGTACATATTTACTGCACAAAGAGTCAATATCGTCCATACTGAGCCTCAAATTCTATCACAATCTCTCATATGGGAAAACAATTTGGTGTCAGACCACAAGAACATTGGCAAATGGATACCTATTTATTAATTAAATCTTATTAAGGTACCAATCTCTTCCTTAGAACACCTAACTTGACAAGAAGCAAAATATTTTAGAGAGGCGGTTTCAGAGGTCTTGTAAAGACCCTCCACTAGTGGACGGACTGCAACTCATATCAAGCTGAGTTACTGGTTTACTCCTTTACTATCTTGTTGGGTTGAAATGTGGAAGTTTAGGACCAGAGAATTTGCTTTTGTGGACAATAAAATCCTTCATTAAGTTTCCTATAAATGTGGACAACTTGATAATTCAATCCCTTTAATTTGTTGGTGGTGTATGCACTTTTCCACCAAGTTCAGTAAGGGTCATCATCGTAATACATCATTTTTTAGTCACATGATCATCATCTCTGACTCTCTGAGTTACAATCAATATCAACAGTACTATTAAGATCGATATTAATACTATAGTACTATTTTATTGTTTGGAGTGTGTTGAGATGAAGCCATGAAGGGAAGTTTCTTGAATACACAAACTCATTATTGCTCTTTGGGGGTCCATAACCAATCCCTTTTTTCTTTGTTTCCATGCTTTTCCCTTCCAAAAGAGGGTGAGGCCAAAACTGATGAATATAATTACTTTTTGTGTGATTACTCCACAATGATAGAAAGCGAATTATATTTGTCACCTTTTGGGAAGTTCAAAAAAAGAAGAAAAAAAACTATATTTTTTGGTAAAATGAATTATTCCCTCTTTGACAGCATCAAAATTTCAGCCACCTAATTCAAACACAACTACTTTCCATGGTTTTTATGAACCTGTGGGCTTGTGTGGAACCGGACACGTTCAAGAGAAAACATTGTGGTTTAAGTCAAACAACCAGAAAGAGATCACAAATAATTGAAGTGTTGTGTTCTCTTCAAGTCTAAGAAACTGTGATTGTTAGCAAAAAGTTGGAGAGGTGGGACAGAGGCTGCAGCTGGCTTGGGTCATGCATGTTATATTGAGATTGTTTCCGCTGGGAAATTCCAATCAAATTAGTTAGACAATTAAATTAGTAACATTGACTTTCATTGCTTTGCGAGTCCCTAACAGATTTGAGAGCCTTTAAATTTTATTAGTGCGATACTGTGATGTGATCTACACTCATTTTATATAGGAAAAAAAATGTCAATAATGGACCCTTAAATCCAATGAGTAATATAATTAGATTTCTTAATTGAGAAAATAAAAATCCAATGAAGTCTTATAAACCAACAAAAATGGTGTAATTGGGTCATAATATTATCTACTCATCAAGTTTTTGTTGAGTGTTACATAGACTAGGCTAACATGTGGAGTCTTAGATCTTATGTGGATACTAAGTGTACAATTTTTTAAAATTTTTAATTTTTTTTGAAAGGCATACAATTTTAATTCCCTTTTGAAGAAAAAAAAAACTTATATTTTATTTTATTTTTTTAAAAAGCCACCGACCATTATAAATAACCGATAGTTGTTTTTGTCATATGTCAATGGACAAGACAATCATGACTGTTTAGATCTAGATCTCAAAGGCAGACAACTAAGCAGCCTCAGCTTTGACATTAAGTGAGAGAAGGTGGCTATGTTGCCTTCATCAAATATGGACCTCTTTGACATCTAGAAATGGACAACCATGACTAGGGGTGACCGCGGTTCCGGTTCCGGTTCCGATTTTGCAAATGGACAAACCGGAATCGGAACCTTAGGGGCCGTTTACTAACTGGAAATTTTCTTGGAATTTCCGGAAACTGGAAAATAGAAAACAGAAAACATGTTTACTAACAAAGTTTCCATTTTGAAAACTGAAAATAATTTCTGAAAATTTCTGGAAAACTGGAACACACTTAAAAACTGTTTTCGAAATGGAAAACAGAATCATCTATCATCTATTTAGTTATATGTCACTATAACAACATTACTATGATTACATCCATTATCATCCTATTTTACTTATCACTATCTTCTATTTTTTCTACTTACTTTAATTTACTTATTTAAAGATCATTTATTTACTTACACTTTAAAGTTAGACATTCTTTACATTATCAAAATTAAGAATTAAACTCTATATAATGCTTTAGATTTTTATTGAACTCAATAGATTATTAGTTCAAATATTTTTAATTATGTTACATCATAATACAAGTTCGGTCCAGATATTGGATATTAAAATCTAACATATATTATATTAGAATTCAAAGTAAAAGTTATATATTCATATACATGTCATTCAAATGAATATATCCAAAAATGTATTTTAAATATTAGCTCAAAATTATTAATATTATTTAAAACAAGTTTTTTAAACATAAAACAGAGAATGGAAAACTGAGAATGAAAACTAAAAAATTAGAAAACAGAAAACAGAGAACAGTTTTCTGTTGGTAAACGGACTCTTATAGTAAGGTTCCGGTTCCGGTTCTAACCGGATTTATTTTTTAAAAAAAACAAAAAATAAAAAAAAAAAAACACTATAATTTTAAATTTTTCCCGGTTTGGAACCAGAACCGCCGGTTTCGGTTCCTTTTCATCTCGAACCTTAATCGAAACCGTATGAACGGTTCGGTTCCGTTTCCAGTTCAACAGTGCACGATTGGTTCGAACCGAACCATGGTCACCCCTAACCATGACTATAGTCAACGAAAAATGGTCAATAGCTTATAATGATGACCAGTGACATTTTAAAAAAAAAAATAAAAACTAATACACATAGAGGATATGTAATTTTCGAGATGCTACGTGCTAGCACTATATTAACACTTACTTGCTGAATAGGTAATATTAAGATCTAATTGCAAAATTAAACTTCGTTCATCTCAACTTTTTTTAGTTCAAAAACTTAATTACATTATTTGTTGGACTTAAGGGTAAATTTGACATTTTTCATTTAATATGTCCATCTTATTGGTCATGTATACTATCTTATCTTACTCTATATAATAGCAAAGTATTTTTTGTCAATCAATTTTCCGCCTAAATGAAATTGCATCATTTTAAGGTATTAAATACCAATTAAATGAAATTGCATCATTTTAAGGTATATAATGCAACATACTTATCTATTTTCAATACATGTTAATCTACAATTATTGTTATTTAATGATGAAGCAGGTAATACATTTCCGTATTTTTAAGTTAACATTTTATTATATAAATTAATTTATTGTTTACTGAAAAAAAAATTAGAGTATCCGATTTTAAAAAATAAGATTAACCTATTTTTTTATTCTTACAATTTTGTTGATCAACAACAATTTAATTGTTCATTCTAATATAGTTTTGAGAGGGAATTTTTTTTTTTTTTTTAAGTTACTAAATCAGTTACTAAATTGAAAAAAAAAGTTTTTTAAAATTTAAATCAGTTGCATGAACAATAACATTGGAGAGACGAATAAGTTTAAACAAATAATTATTGAACTGATATTAAGTAATTAGAAAATATGATGTATTTCTTAATTTCGTTTTAAACAATAAGTTTTACCTGAAGATGATACTATATTTATTAGTTTGTTTTAGATCTGCTCCGGTCACCCGATTTTTCAGATCGGCATTTGGGGAAGAAAGCAATTCCACAACGGCCAAAAGCTACGGTCAGATTATCTGAAAAGTTTTTTAGCAGTGGATTACTTGGACGTGCGATGATTTAAAATCGAGTGTGTCAAGGCGCCGGAAACAGAGAAGGTCCGCGTAAGCCAGTGAACATTTTAGAGAGAATGACGAACGCAACAGAGTAGACGGAAGCACAATCGTCAAAAAATATGGATTAGGGTTTGGTAATCAGGTTTTATAATTGGGTTAATGGGTTCGGGTATTGGGCTGAAATGCAACGTAACTGGGTTATATGGATAGATAATTAAATGTTTATTGGGCTTAACATTGCAGGTTTTAGTTTTTCTTTCATGTCATGAAATATTTCATATTTAGTTTAGATTTATATATGTTGTACGTATATAATTATTATTATTAAGCAATGTTTAAGAAAAGATTTTCGTAATTAGTTTCAATGTATGATGATGATACTGTATTTTTTATTTATATATTGTCAAGTATATGTACTATAGGCTTTAATTGCAAATCATATTAATAAATATTTTTATATATAAGTGATGCGTAGTATATTTGCAAACAAATAATTCTCGGAGTACAAGTTATCGATCCACAGGGAAGTAGTTGTATCAAGCACTAGTTACTAACTTATTCATTAGAGCTAATCCTAACAATTACTTAGATGATTGATTGGCATAAAATAAATAAAATAAAACAGAGGTTCAGGACTTTGAAAACAATTAGAGAGAAGTTGAGATTCATGGGATTCAAGTATTTAATCACCTAGTGCCAATTATCGTTTGCAATATTTAGTTTGGAATTAAGATTTGTGTGGGAATGCAAAGTGGAATCGAATTACTCCCGTAATCTCTATTCCTAGTGAATTTCCACTCCCGTGGCTTAAACACCCAATAAGATCGAAGATCAGCATTCAATTATTCCTAATTACTACCATCTCCCGATTGGCAACAATCTAGAATAAACTTCCCCTAATAAGTTCCCCTTTCCCAAGGTCCAACCATTAGGTGCAATTGTGTGTACCCTAATATATGCCCCAACTCCCATTGGTGACACAAACATGGCTATGAAGCTAGTAACTATGGCCATTAATTACAAGCATCAAA